GTAGGCTGTCGTCATGTGCGATGGTCAGGGCGGAGAGTGGGAGGCGAGAAACAAGCTGCACCTCCTCTTGCATCGCATCTGATCATCGAGAAATGCGGCCAGGGGGAGGAGGGGTGGGTGGCGATGAGAATGGTGGCAGGGGTGTGCACGTGAGGCGAATGAACGATGATAACCATGCAGTGACAGAGGTGAGACACCACCACCCTGCTTGCACACGTGTGTGCGTGTTGGTTGTACAAGTGTGTGCGTGTTGTGTTGGTTGTACAAGTGGGTGCGTGTTGTGTTGGTTGTACAAGTGTGTGCGTGTTGTGTTGGTTGTACAAGTGGGTGCGTGTTGTGTTGGTTGGCACCTGCGTCCGTGTGGTGCTGCATCGTCTCAACACGCTGCTCCACGTCGCCGAGTTCTCCGCGCCGAAGCTGACGGCAGGCGAGGTGATAGTGGTGGTGGAGGCGATGGTGGTGATGATGGTGGTGGTGGTGATGGGCACATGTGAACAAGAAGAGCACGTGCGGTTCTGATCTGACTGCACACGCAATCAGCATGCATACAAGCGCAACTCAGACACACAACCAGACAAGCAACCAACGCAACACAACGCAACGCAACGCAACGCAACGCAACGCAAACACAGTTGAACATATGGTCTTTTCCATGTCTCTCGTTCTTGTCGTGTCTCAGCAGCATCACGATGCACTCACGCTGTCGAGTTGTTTGTGTGTGTGCACGCGCAACTGCTCGACTTGACGCGATATCCGCACAAGATCTGAACTCAGCACTCGCTGATGCGACGATAAAGGATCGTGGTGATTGGTGATTGGTGATTGGTGATTGGTGACGGCAACGTGAACTTGGATACACTGTGTCAAACCAACGCAAGCAACAACCACAGCAAACCCCCGCCCGTGCACACAAATTCACACACACACACACATCTGTCACTCTCCACCACCATCACAACCACCACCACTGCCATCACCGCCACCGCTGGCATCACCATGTCATCCTCGAAGGAGTGCAGCTGTTTCGTCTTCGTCGCGGCGGCGTCGCGCTGTCGTGCGCGTGTGTTCACGACGCTGGTGGCATCAGATATGGACACCTCCAGGGCCTTCCTCTCCGCCTCAACAGCAGCAGCATCGCCCATCGCCTGCACGTACTCCCTGGCATGGTGCGGGTATGTAGCGAGGTAGGCATGAGTCGGTGAGAGAGGGACGAAGGAGGACAGGTGCTTGCGTGCGCGCGCGCGTGTGTGTATGTGCTTGTGTGTGTGTGTATGTACGTGTGTGTATGTGTGTGTCTGTGTGTCAAGTAGCATCTGCTTCCATCCACTTCGCCTCTATTCCATAGTCGGCATCACCACAACCAACACCCAAACACACACCCAACACGCACGCACACACACCCAACACCGAAACACACACCCAACACACACACCCAACACGCAAGCGCAAGCATACACGCGTCGACAGGGTCTCTGTGCGCTCACCGTAACGCATCGTCTGCGCGCGTGTCTCCGAGTTGCAGTTCAATCGCATTCTGTCCACAAAGGAGTTGGTGTTGGTGTGTGTGTGTTGTGTTGTGTGTGTGTGTGTGCGTGTTTATGAGGAACAAGTGGTTCTCGAAAGGGCATCATATCACAAGAAGAGCAGAAGAACACAATTCACCACCACCACCACCAAGATCGCCATCCACTTCCCCACCGCGTGCTGCTGGCACTGGTCCTCGTGCTGCTGCGCCGTCTGGTTTGCGCTGTCAATCTCCAGCGACGACAGCACATATTTCCGCTCTTCCTCCTGACACCGCGCACCGGTTTGTGCGTGCATGTGTGTGTGTGAAAGTGTGTGTGTGTGTGTGAAAGTGAGAGAGAGAGAGCGTGTGTGTGTGTGTGTGTGTTGCAAACAACAAGCAGCGCCATCAGTCATCCACCACACACAAGCACGTGCAGCGAATTCACCACCACCAACTTCACCACTGGCCGTTTACACACGTGCACGAGCTGCTCGAGCTCCGTCAGCAAATTCGGGGGCGCATCATCCTCGCGGCGGCAGCTGGTGGTGACGGTGATGATGATGGTGGTGGTGATGATGGTGGTGATGATGGTGGTTTGTAGGTGACAACACACACACACACACACACAAGACAAAAACACACACAAGACAAAAACACAAACGAGCGCGGTTGTGCAGTTGTTAGCAAGCAAAACAGCGGATAGAGGAGTGCTGCTGTCACTGTGTGACCGTGGCATATGGCAAGATATGATTATGATTGATCGTACTCGATGCGAGATGTGTTCGCTGGTCGCCCGTCGCTCTCAACATCACGCGCAATCTCCTATCGTCGTACACGCACGCACACACAAGCATGATACATGAGCACACGCACACAACCGCACGCACAAGCATGAGCACACGTACACAACCGCACGCACAAGCATGATGCATGAGCACACGCACACAACCGCACACGCACGCATACACAACAAAAACTGTCCAACCTCTGTGATGCTCAGGAGCGCATCTGAAATGTCTCGATATGAATGTCTCTGTCAGCAACAAAACAAAAGTCACATTGCACGTGCGTATGTGAGTGGGTGAGTGAGTCTGTGTGTGTGTGTCTGTGTGTGTATGTGTGTTTGAAGGCACGACAAGCTTTCAAAAGAAGAGAGAAAGGAAAGCAAGCAACGGCGCACAAGCAATTGCATCTAGAATCCCTTCACACACACACACACACGTACTCAAACGTCGCGTGCAATCACAAACGCAATTGTTTCATCACCTCATACAGGGCGTCAACGACAGTCAAGTCCTTCGTGGATGTATCGTGTTTGATGCCGTGCTTTGATGTCAATGCGACTGAAGGCAAAGAAACTGACACACACACAACGCAACACACGTGTGCGCGTAACACATGCACACATAGCATGCACATAGCACACACACACACATAGCGCATACACACACAACACACAAAACACACACACACACACGCACACACCATCAAATTCACATGTCCCCGCAAACGCGTGTGAAGGTGTTCATGGTTCATACCAGCTTGTCGCTGTGCACAAGTTTCCTGAGCTCCTTCTAACAACGCACCACGACGACCACGCACGCATGTGTGAGAGATAGCGATACGGTGAGTGCTTGGGGGTCAAGGCGCAACGACAGCACCTGTCAATCTCACCTGGCATTCACCTTCGGCGCCGTATCCATCCATGAGCAGCCGTTGCTTCTCCCTGATGGCACGATGCGAGCAAGGAATGCAACGTCATGGATGAGGGGACTGGACGGAGGGGACACTTTGCAATCTACACTGGACAGAGTGAACCGACCGCTGCAAACACACATACACACACACGCACACACACATACACACACACACAAGCAACATACACAAGCACAAGCAAAAATGCACACACAGTGCCGCTTACACTTCAAGGAGGCGGTGCTTCCCGTTGTACACATCAGCCATGACTGTTGCCAGCGCATCCAGCCGATCAAAGTGGTGCTGCATCTTATGTTGCGCGGCCTGCATAGCGATCACGACACAAAGGTGCACAATGAGGCGACTTGCTCAAGGTGGGCACCTGCACGACTAAAATTCACTCTCACACACACACATATACACACGCATCACAACAAAACAAGGAAGCATTTGTCTTCGACGACAGCAAAAGGGGCACCGTACGCCTTGAATGTAGCGGTGAACGGCGTGCTCCTGCTTCTTCGACCTCAACTGCTGCGACTCTTGAGCTGTGAATTCATTGTCCCACAAACACGCACAGTCACATGCATAAGCGTGTGTGTGTGTGTGTGTGTGTGTGTGTGTGTGTGTGTGTGTGATGGGGGAGGCAAGGCAGCGACGTCAACGGCACAACCCTAGGCACAGCCCTAGGCACAACGACGCAGACATGCCCGCGCACCTTGCTGACAGAGCTTGTGTTGGAGCAGACGCACTTCCTCCTCCAGCGCTTCAATTTCACGTTCCACCTCTTCCTCGCTCATCTCAGGGCCCTTCAGCGCCCTCTTCTTCTTGCCCGGCCCACCCCTCTTCCCTTTCGGTCCCTGCACCATCGTGCTGGTGTTAGCGATGCCGTCCGACTGCAAGCGAGCAAGCGAGGATGCAGGACCAGTTTCGATTGCTGTTGCCGGCAGTGACGGTTTCGGAAGATTATGAGAAAACATTCGTTGATTTTCAGCATCCAAGATGACGGCGATGACAGCGAGGTGTTGTGTGTGGTGGGCGGCTGTTTGGCTGGCTGCTAGCCACCTTGTTGTGCTGGATGGCCGTGTGGCTGCACGTGACCCGGACGACGTGGCCTCCTCCCTCATCGACGATGCAGAAAGCCTTCCAGTTGTTCAAGAACAGAAGTGAGCACCCGTCCTCTGCTTTGATGCGGAGATATGGATGTGTATTTTATGGAGTGACATGATGTGTTTGTGTGCGGCTGTTTGAAGTGTGTGTTTGTGCTTGCGTTCCTTGGTTTGCATTCACGTGTCTGTGTGTGTTTGTGTGTGTGTGTGGGTGTATCAAACGGCTCGTGCTTGTTGCACTGTGTGCTTGATAACACCGCCGCTGTTCATTGCATTGACTTGCCGTGTTTGCTTGTTTTTGTTTTTTTGGTTGTAGCTCACCTGTCGGCCACGCGCGCGCGCACACACACACACACACACACACACACACACACACACACACACACACACATGTGCTCCACTGCTACACACTCCACCGGCAACAGGGATGACTTTCAGCCGTTTGATGTTGAGGAGCTGTTTGACGAGATCACCAAGGACGACGTTGGCGCCGTGCAACGCGCTATTGACTTGGGCTTCGATCCAGAGGGACACGCGGTGTGTTCCACAGCACAACAGCTGCTTCATGCCTTTCCTTTCGACATTGTTCAAAACCATACACTCCACAGGCAGTGCTTTCTATCACACACAGTGCTTTCTATCTCACGTACAACCATACCTCTGCACACACATGCACACACACGTTCACATGCACGCACATTCATACACATACACACGCACTCGTGCATGTGTTGACGGCCACCGCAGGACCGAAGTGGGGAACTGGCGTTCCATCATGCTGCCTCTGTGGGTGCGCTGAACGTGTGCAAGTTCTTTGTCAATGTGTTGCTCATGGATGTGAACACGCGGCACAGCGACGGCTCCACGCCTGCCATCGTCGCAGCGTGGCACGGCCACAAGGTGACCACAGTATGTCATTGGTCTGCTAATGTGCGTGTATGTCTGTGCTCTCTCTCTCTCTCTCTCTCTCTCTCTCTCTCTCTCTCTCTCTCTCTCTCTCTCTCTCTCTCTCTCCCGCTCTCTGCATGTATCGATGTCGACGCATGTATGTGCAACAATCCCATCAAACAAACACCTTGGCATATACACACCACCGCTGCCGTGCGTGCCCTGCAAGGATGTGCTGGACTATCTGATTGAGAAAGGCGCTGACGCGCACGCGAAATGCTACAACGGCTGGAACGCCGTGATGGGCGCTGTGTATTGGAACGAATACGGTCAGTTGACAAGGGAACCACAAGAAGGATGTTTGGCACCACTGTCTCACCAGCCACAGATACGCCAACAACGGATTAACACACCAGCAGTGGCGTTTGTCCAAATGCAGCCACGCGCATGCACGCAGCCACCGTAACATCAACCTCACGACCACTGCGCCACCACAACCTCACGACCACTGCGCCACCACTGCACAGATATGCTCCTTTATCTCGCATCGCTCGGTATTGCATTGGACGAACCGGAAAAGGATGGCGAGTGGACGCCCCTCAAAGTCGCGGCAGCCCGGGTAAACCATGGACACACACATGCAGTCGTAATTGGTGGTGCTGAATGTGTGTGCTCGTGCACGCACGTAGTTGTAGTGTGTGCTCGTGTACTTTCTTTGCCCTTGTCCTCGCCGCGTCTCTCTGTGTAAAAGTGTGTGTGTGTGTCTATGTTCCGCTCTCCTCCCCAGCTTTCCCTCATCCAACGTCCAAACACACACTACACACACACGCACGCACGCACGCACGATAGGGCCATGCGCATATGGTTGACTTTCTTCTTCGCCACGGAGCAGATCCGCTCTTCATCGACAGCAGGGGACGGACACCGAAGGTACCGCACAACTGGCGGTGGTCGCAATGGCGTGCACTTGTGATGCTGTGCAACCTTGTTAACGCGTGTGGCCTGTTGTGGCTACGGTTTGCTCATCTTGCACACACACACACACACACACACACACACACGCACGCACACACGCACACGCACGCACACACGCACGCATACACAGATGCTTGCAGAATCGAAAGGGTTTCATCTGATTGCAGAGCGATTGGCTGTGGCGGAACGAGAGCGGCGGAAACACCTTGAACTTGAGGGAATGGAAACAGCACACACACGCACACATGCGCATGACATGCACGATGAACTGTGACGACGCAGGCGAGCGGCAGGACTCCTTCCCCCCTCCCCTCCCCCTCCATTGTACTTTCCGTTGCCTTGTGTTCATCTCAATGTTTTGTTTGTTACACACGCACACACACGCACACGCATATCGCCTTTGTTCTTCAAACACGCCGACACTGTGCAATTGTATCTTGTAATCGTACATTGCAACTATTCATATAAACAACCGTAGCACTACGCACCACGTGCCCCACAACACGCTCATGTCCATACAAACACACCCACCCAAATCTATGAACAACAGAACAACCAATTACTTGCTCCAAAAGCACCGCAACGCACCGAACAACTACGTGCATGTACATTCACACCCTTCCTTCCTCCGTCCCTCCCTCACACAACACAACACAACACAACACAAACACAGCACAACACAACACAACACAAACACAGCACAACACAACACAACACAAACACAGCACAACACAACACAAACACAACACAACACACACGCGCATATCCCCTGGCATCAAATGACGGTTTCATATGAGACAACATCGCCCTCAACAGAGACGCGCGTCACGCCAAACTCAACCAAGCTCTCATCAAACCAGCCAGCACCCTCATCGTCCTCGTTGTTGTCAGTGCCATCGCTCGGGTGCCGCCCACTGGCGTGCGATCCTGTGCTCGTGTTCACTTGCGACGATGACGACTGTGACAGCCGTTTTTTCACGTCTGTGGACGTGTTCACGCTCGCACCACTGTCACTGCCCCGCAGCTGGCGTGTGGGCCCTTCTGCGTGCACCGCGCTCCCATCACGTGGTTGTTGTGGTGCATGATCATGTCGGTGCTGATCCTGTTGCTGCTGGTGGTGCGTGTTGATGACGACGACGTTGTTGCCTGCACCCATACCGGGCACGTGCAGCGCGCACTCCGTAGCGGGGGAACAGTGTCCGCTCGAGGCTGAGGGCGACGCCGGCGAATCGACACCATGACGGCCACCACCACCGTCCCTGTGATACGAGGCTGCGTTGCTTCCATGTTGGCCGTTCGTGTGTCCTTGATGCTGCTGGTGATGGGTTGAGCTGCGACCTGCGAGCGAGAATGCTCTCGTCGTTGCAGCAACGGCCTGTTCGCCCCGCCTCAGCGCCTGCGCACATGTGCACGTGCACGTGCCCTTGGCGGCCGCCTGACCACTCTCGCTCGGCAGGGAGAGGGATCGACGTGCCTCGTCCACGTGCAAGGCACGCGCACCAACACGAGCACGACCATCTCCGCCATCAGCAGCACCACAGGTGCACGCCCGGTGTGTGGCAGATGCGCCGCGCACACGCGCACGACGCGAGGATGGCGATGAGCGGCGAACAGGGCTCTGGCCAACCATGGCACGCGCCTCCACGACAAGTTGCATCAGGCGAAGGCGGCGGCGGCTCCGCGGTGACAGCGGATTCGCACGAGAAATGTTGCATGCAGGCACAGTTGCTGCTGACGTCATTGTGTCTGTACCTGCTGTGACTGTGCCTGTTGCTGCTGCTGCTACTGCTGCTGTTGCTGTCACCGTGGCGGCATCGATGGGTGCCCCTTCGGCATCCTTGGCATCCTTGGCACCCAAGCCTGTTGGCGTAGCATCACTGCCATCTGCCGTGCTGGCAGTGATGGTTGATGCGGTGCTGTTGTTGTCCGCGCCAAGAGCATTACTGGATGCGTCACCATCACCAGCAACATCGTCGCCACCACCACCATCAGCGTCATCATCATCATTGTCGTCATCATCACATTCCTCGTGGCCACCGCAGGCGCTCGTCCCCTTCAGCTGTGCGGACAGCATTGCGTAATGCGCACCAAGCACCGAGCTGCGCAACTTCTGTGCTGTGTGAAACGGTGACGCCATCAACGACAACCACGCGCGGTCGTGCTGGTGTTGGTGGTGTTGGTGGCTGTAGTGGTGTGACTCCTGGTAACCATGGCGCTGGGGACTGGTTGACGCGAGCTGTGTCGCTGCCAGCGCAACAGTGGAAGCGAGTGCATCATCTGCATGCCCGCCGTCTTCACACACCTGCGATGGTCCACTTTCTGCCCCGAAATGATGATTCTGCGCGTGAATGTGATCCTTCCCGCGTTGCTGAATCCACGGTCTGCCACGCCTGTCCTGTTGTGCCTCCCAATCACCGCCGCCGCCACCTTGCTCTTGTTCTTGTTGTTGCTGCCAAAGCCACGGGCGCAGAACGGCTTCAATGTCCGCACCAACAGATGACGTGCGTCGACGCGGCTTCACACCCATGCCTTTGCCATCACTATCATTGTAGCTGGCGATGGCATGCGCATCACAGCGTGCATTGGCGTTGCAGCTGCTACTGTTGCTTCTGTCCGTGTTCTTGCCGTTGCTGTTGGTGTTGGTGTTGGTGTTGTCGCTGTCGTGGATTCCGAGCAACTCCTCGCGTGTGATGCGTCGTCCACGCTGCTGCCGTCGAAGTCGCGCCTGGTCATCTGCGCTCACACCACGCCGCCGAACACCTTGCCGCTGTTGCTGGTGCCGCCCAAGATGGTGGTGGTGGTGGTGGTGATTGACCTGGTCACCGTCACGCTGTGATGTGTTCGGTCGCCCGCGCGTGGGTCGTGTGACCGCAAGGCGTGGTTCGCCTCCATAATTACCAAACCCAACACCACTACCATCAGCACCATCATCGTCTGCATCGTCGACAGCGCGGATTGGTGAGAGGTCGCGCCACTGCTGCGCAAACTGGTCCTCAGTCTCCATACGAAGGCCGCTGTCCTGCACACGTGCACTGCCGCCATCGCCACCAACCGCTGACTCGAGAAACGACCCATTCATGGACTGTGCAGATGTGTTGAAGGAGGCGTTATGCTCGCCCAGATGTCCATTTGCTGTTCGCAGTCCCGACAACCACGAGCGCTCCCCTTCATCGAGCGACAGGTTGGCAGCCACGCCGCCTTGCTCTGTCCGGCAGTGAAAGCCATCGGCGTCGCTGCTATTCTGCTTCATATCATCACGGGCTGTTGTTGTGGTGGCAAGCATCGATACAGACATCATGCGGTTGCCGCTATCATCCCTGCGCAGAGCAGAGGTTGACTGCCCGCACTTGTGCTGCTGGTGCTGCCGGTGCACGTGTGCGCGTTCCTCCACCGTTGTCAGTGCACGCGGCATGCGTCGTTTCGTGCGGGCACCCCGCGCAGATGCAGGCGACGTGAGTGTGGCGAGTGCAAACTGGCGCCGCCGCTGTGCGCTCATTCGCACAGGTGATGTTCGATTTGCCTTCTGCATGAGCGCAATGAGGGATGGGCTGCTTGGGATGTGATATGGAAGGCTCTCCTCCACAATGGTCTTGAGTGGTGTTGTTGCCACTGCTGACGCAGCATGTGCTCGAGCGAGAGTGGCGGCGCCGACGGGCGTGTGCGGTGCATCCTGCACAGCAGCATCACCTCCCTGCTGCCGGTAAGACTGAAATTCTTCAACACGCTCCTGTTCACCTTCTTGCTCTTCCGCGTCGCCTCCTTTCGCCGCTGTGCGTGCTTGGGCATGGGGTCTTCCCTTCAGCGGGTGCTGCTGTGGCTCTGAAGACACAACCTGACTGCCATCATCACTATGAGCATCACCAACATTGGCATGTTGAGGCTGCTCCTCACGAGTGCCATCAACACTGCTGTCGCCCTTTTGTACTGCCGCCGCTGCCACAGCTTCCTCCGTTGTGTTGTTGTTGGCGGTGTTGTTGTTGTTGTTGTTGTTGGTGGTGGTGGTGGTGGTGTTCTCCTCGGGTGTGGAGACGGGTCGGAGAGTTGCATCACCGCCACTTGTTGGCGTGTCTGCGAGTGCGGCCGTGTTGAGCGCAGCAGGTGTTCCCCTTTCACTGCCTGCCACCGAGGAGTGTTGCTTGTTGTTGTTACTGTTGCTATTGCTGTTGTAAGGGTGGCGGCTGCTGTTGGGAGTGGTTGCTGTGGCGGCCGCATCATCATCGGTGGTGCCTGTACTGCTTGGGCATGACGCCGTCTCACCCCTCTGTTCCATTCCTCCTCCTCCACCTTCTTCTTCTCCTCCTCCTCTGCCTGCTGCTGCTGCAGTTGCTGCTGACAACGGTGCCTTCCCACCCCGCACGTCGTACTCGCTCGCGTGCGTGCTGACGCTCCCGGCGATTGGCGGGCGCTGGGGTCGCCACGATGGCGAGCGCTCGGGACGGCCGCTGCGTGGCGGGGACGAGAGCACAGACTGGCGGCGCACAACAGCCGATGGCAGCGAATCTGGCTCACGTCGCAGCACAGACACCTGCGCAAGCATAGGTAGGCGTTTGGGGAGGGAGGATATTGCGCTCATGTGAGCAAGTGTGTGCCCTTGCATGCGCACGTTCGCTTGTTTGTGTGCATGTGTGCATGTGTGTGAATGTCCAAGGAACGGTTGCGAGTGATTGTGACTCACCCTCAGGTATGACTGGAGGCCGTAATCGCAGTGCATCTTGTACGGATGCCACATCATCAGTTCCTGTCAAGCGCAAGCATGCAAATGTCCCGCAAGACATGTCCAAATTAGTTGGCGTGTTCGTGCTGGCGTTTGTAAGCATACGTGTACATGTGCGTTTACATGCGTGTGTGTATGCGTGTGTGTGTGTGTGTGCTTGTGAGCGTGTGAAAAGGTGTGCGAGTGCGTGCGTGTGTGTGTTGTGTGTGTGTTTGTGTGTCTGTGTGTCTGTGTGAAAAGGTGTGCGAGTGCGTGCGTACATACCCTGATGATCTTGGCGACGAGCTGCCACGATTCAAGCGCTTCTTTCCACGGCCGTTCGCTTGCGGACCACGCCTCCTTCGCAAACAGCAAATCCTAACGATCGCATTGTGTGCACATGTACGTACACGTGTGTGTGTGTGTGTGTGTGTGTGTGTGTGTGTGTGTGAACGCCGCGTGAGGAAACCTGAGGCCGTAGCACATGCATGCATGCATGCATTCTGTTGCGCAAAGAAGACGCCGCAATACTGGTGCCATGACCTCTATCTCACCTTCAAGTGAAGCGGAAGAAACGGCAGTTTTGGTTTGTGGCCCGCATTTCTCCAAGCATCCCTGTTACATGAGATGAAACAAAACAATTTCAGGTGAGCTATGCCTGCACGCGCAGAGTGGCACCCCTTCCCCCTGTTAGCTGCGCACGCACTCGGTCACGCAAGACACACACACACACATACACTGCATGCTTTGTCAAGCAGCCCCATTTCACAATATTATGTTGCGCCAAGCTGCACTCCTTCCCTGCTACTCCTCCCCCAACCACCACCACCAACCTGTATGCCTTCATGTTTCTGCTAGTGTCAGTAAGGCGGTCCAAAGATGCGTGCAAGCGCTTGTACTTGTCCGGCAAGTTGCGCCACGCCCGCTTCAGCGTCGAAACCTGATACCACGCCACAGAGATGCAAGAGCATTGCGTAAGTGAGTTAAAGCGTTGGTGCACACACACACGTGTTCGTATGTGTGTGTGTCTGTGTTGCAAGTGTTGCGTCATAGTGCTTGTGTATACATTTGTGCGCGCCCCGTGATGCGGTGTGTCTCGTTGCATGATGTTGAGTCATTTCATGGAACTTGTGCTTGGTGCTCAACCAGAAGTACACGCAACGCGCGACATACCTCGCGACACGCCAGCGCCCCCATGATGGCGAAGAAGGAAAAGTAGTTGTGCAGCTTCAAGCTTTCCTCTGCCACCCGTAGAAATTTCCTGCAGTAAATACCACCACCACCACCACCACCATCATCGCAACAACAGCAGCAGGCAATCGACATTGGTGAGGACATTGTTGACGGATTGGGTAGACACAGCACAAGTTGAAAAGGCGTGGCCGCGTGTCATGTGTGTGTGCGTAAACAGGCAACCATGCGCACACGAAGAATATTGTAAGAAGCAGCACACACGTGCGCGCACGCACACACACACACACACATCATACGCGCGCGCACCATCACCAGCCGCACGTCCACAAAGCACAACACGATGTCTCCAGAAATACACACTCGCACAGACATGTACTCAAGCAAGCAAGCAAGCAACTGCCATCCACGCTTACGCAATCATGGTGGCTTGTTCCTTGCGCGTCTTGTGCTGGACAATTTCAGCAGCAACCCACTGTCCTTCGTCCTCGAAACGCAGAATGAGCAAGTGAAGGTTTGGCGCAGTGGCGTTGAGGTCCTGCTTGCTGCCTGAAAACGCTTGCTCAATGTATTCGCGCGGATGCACGCGTTTAAACAGGTCATAGTCGTACAACGCCATCTGCTCCGCCAGCGTGTGTGGCGGAATCTGCAGCACGATGCCTGGTGTTGGGCCGACGCCCTGTTTCTGCGCGTGCAACACGGGCTTGGGGAGGCCGTGTGCCTGCTGGTACTCAACAGCGGCAAGCACCTCATCCCTCAGCCAGGCATGCGTCGTGTCACAGTGCAGGTCTTCGATGGTGCGGTGCAGTGCAGCCACGTACTCGGGGCGCTCCTCAAAGTCAACCCAATATGCAACCACCCAGTGCAACAACAGCTGTTCGCCATAGCGAATGAGTGCGTTTGTGTGTGTTTGTGTGTGTGTGTGTGTTTGTGTGTGTGTGTGTGTGTGTGTGTGTGTGTGTGTGTGTGTGTGTTTGTGTGTGTGTGTGTGTGTTTGTGTGTTGTAGTTGAAGGATGGTTTTAGTGAGCGACGCTTGGTCAACAAATGGCAGCAAGATTGGTATTCAAAACAATTTCCACCACCACGCCCTCACATAACACCAGCATAGAAACATACACATTCACACAACACACCCGCACCCACGCCACACAAATGTACCTTAACACAAACAAGTGACACATCGCATATGTGCGCACCTCAAGCACGTGAACGGTGTTGTCCACGAAAGCCGGCGTCGATGCTGTGGATGCACGCGAGAGTGCTGCGCCGGTTGCGTCCGCGGACATGTGTGTTTGTCGCGGCTCAATTGGCGGCAGCATCGCCATTCGCACCAGCAGATCAAGCAGTGCTTCTGGGTCATACGCCATGCGGTAGCACAGCAAGAACACAGCCTGTGCATTTGTGTGTTTGCGTGTTGTGTTTTGTGTGTGTGTGTGTGTGTGTTTTGCGTGTCGAACAGGTGGCGTGTGAGCGAGAGGGGCGGTCCTTTGGTGTGCATCACAGATGTAAGCGTAATGCACACGCCCTTGCACTTTACACATGTACCCACATATGCACATACACGCATGTGCGCGCACATACATACACACATGCACACATGCACACATACACACATGCACATATAAGCAGACATCTGCACACAACACGCACCAGGGGCGATGTGGGAATGCCGCTGGAGGCAGCACTCGTGTTTTCAGACGTGGAAGATTGTGATGCAACGAGGCGAGCATTGCGTGGCTCTGCGTGTGACACCCACGGAAACGCAAATTTGAGCCACTGCTTGCACTTCTTCTCCACAATACGTGACAGCGCCTCTGCATCCTTCGCTGGCGAGTGTTTGCTTGCAAGCACCTGTAAAACACGCAAGGAGAGGACGGGCATGTACGACAAACACACAACAACAAACAGAGAGCGCATGAGAACATGAGAAATCATCTCGCAAAGCATGCAATAAAAGGAGACCAACCCCCCCCCCCCACCCACCACACACACACACACACACATGTAGACGTAGATGTAGATGGGCTTACGTGACAGACGCGAAGTGCCTCTTCTGCAAGTTCATCAAACGATTGAACATCAAGGGAGATGCCAGTGGCCAGCAACAGGTTCTCACGGCTGCCCGGCCTGAACAACACATACACAGGCAAGCACAAACACACATACAAGCACATGCACACGCAGCCGATAATGTGAGGCGCACAACTATTGTGGGTATGATGCAAACTTCACACGCATCGACTTTAAACACACACACGACACTACACACACAACACAGACGCGCGCAAACTTCACTCTCGCACAAACCACCCGCGTGGTTCGTGCGCGCTCACCCTGATGCTCTGCTGGTCCAACTCATGTGCCTGTAGAGCGTTTCCGATGCAGATGAGACGCTGCCCCTGCGCACCACATCCTCGATGTTGGGTGGTGGCGGCAGCCCCTTTGGCGACGACGCCGCCGCCTGCGCGCTGGAGTGCTGACTCAGCATTCCTTTCACGGCGTCCATCAGGCGTGCGGATGTGCTGGCCATCTCCTTGAGCACGTGTTCGCGCTGCTCCGCGTCTGCCATGCCCTGCGGCACGTATTCCACAATCTTCGAGAACTCGTGCCTCAGCGGGGCTATTGCTGCCGAGTAGCGCGCTGGTGTTGCATCACACGCGTCTTGCACAACCTGGCGCGTGCGGCGTGTGCGTGTGGAGGGAGGGAGTGGGGAACAATAGCGTGTGTGTGCATGTGTGTGCGTGTGTGTGTGTGTTTGTGTTTGTTTGTGTTTGTGTTTGTGTGTGTGTGTGTGTTTTGTGTTTTTGTGTGCGGGTGTACATGTATGTGCATGTGTGAGTGTGTGAGTGTGTGAGTGTGTGTGAGTGTGTGCGTGACAGTTGTTGAGTGCATTGTAAAGTGTAGCGAGCCGGTGAAACATGAACACACGTCCCTGCAAACACCCGCGTGTTTGCCCATCTCCTTCGGTGCAACGCACGCACGCATGCACACACGCACACACGCATGCACACACGCACACACACACATGAACATATATGTGCACGCACGCACCTTGAGGAGGGCCTTCGCGCTGGTGATTACGGTCATGGGCTGCGATGAGATGGCAGCAAGCAGCATGTCAATGTGCGCCTGACTCAGCCGCATCAGCAGCTGTCGTGTGTCTGCACCTGCTGCTCCGCTTGCCAATGCCGCAGCTGAAACACACAACAGCACGAGGCGCACACAAATGACACGCATACGTCATGAGTATTGGTGGTGGTAGTTTGGTCTGGGGAGGGGGGCCATAGCACAGCTTGCCACTCTCAAGGTGTGCAAAGTACCACAATAACACAACAACGACCATTAAGCCTGCACTCTGGCTGGCTCTGCACAATGACAGTTGCCAACCTGATCGTGAAGCGGCAATGTCTTTGCGGACGCGTTGCGGGGAGAGGCTGTTGCTCTTTTTCCGAAGGATCTTTCGCTCCATCTTCTCCCGCTGCTTGATTTCCCACTCCTTGATGTTCTTCTTGTTGAGCGCTTCCTTCAGGAACGCCTGTGCTTCATATGCGTCCTGAAACTCAAACCCATACATGGTGCTTGACTCGCCCTCCTTCTTCAGCACCACGCACAACTGCACGACAGCGGCAAGAGAAGGAGGAGGTAAGGGGGGGGGTTCAGGGTGTGAGAGTGTGAAAATCAATCCAATAAAGTTCCCAGCACGTACAGAAGAAGAAGGCGTGACTGCTGTTATGTGTGTGTGTGTGTGCATACGAAAGGAGCGAGGGTCCCCACCAAGCCAGTGCAGCCAACAGGCCAGCAGTAAAAGGACACATTCACACATGCACATACATTCACACTTGCGCAGAGGCAGCAACATGTGTCTGTGTACCGTGTTGTGTGAGCTGAAGATGGAGATGCGCTCCATGGAGGGAAAGTTGCAGCTGAAGAGTGGCGGTGCGGTGGCCTGTTGCGGGTCACGTGCGTACACGCCTTCATCATCCACACCGCAGAGCACCTGAATTGCGCGCAACAACACACCAGGAATGTACACATCGCAAGTACAAGGCATGTTGCGTGAGAAGCAGCACAACTCAACCCATCATGCACATGGACACGCATACACACACATAACACACGTGCTCGTGCACACAAGTACACGTACATACACACACATGCACACACATACACGATTGCGTGCATGTACGCGCCCACGCACGCACATGCACATACATGCACTAACTCTCGCATGCAAACACGCAACACTCAGCACGCATGTACACATACATGCACACATACATGCACACACACACACACACAGATAAAACACCCGCACAAAACATACCCCTCGCTTGCCGCGCTTGCTGGCTGTGATTGCCTTGAGACCCGCTTGCATGCGTACAGCAGCGGAAGTGCGGCCGTTCACGATGAGAGACCCTCGAAACACGGCCGGCAGCTCCAGCACCTCCTGCTGCCACAACTGGCTTCCTTGCGACTCCATCGTCTCTCCCTCCTAGCGGTCGCGAGCTTGCCGTTCAGCAGCTGCTGGACGTTCCCACTGGGTTCCTCTGTGCGACAGGCGTGCTGCTGCTGCTTGCTTGCTTGCTTGCTTGCCTTCACACGGACTTGGTTTGGTGGCTTCTTTGTTGTTGTGTTGCAGTGCCAGTGGCCCGTGTCCAACCCAGCACCGAGCAGGGCTTCTGCTGCTGCTTGTTGTTGAGCTTGTATGCGAGCGGCAGGGTGTGTTATCTTCCCAGCCAGCCAAACGAGCCCCGCTATCTTCCCTTCTTCCCGTGCACCCACGCTGTTCCGCTTGTTCGTGTGCTCCTCGCTCGCACACTCACCAACTCCCCAACGAGCCGCAACCAATGCTGCCTGTTAACCTGTTAACGGCGATCTGCTGGTTGTTGTGTGCTCGTTGGCGCTGTTTTGTCAGCGAAAATCGGTTCGGTGCACCGAAAAATTTCGTTGAAATTAGAAAATCACTTCAAGTCTTTAAACAATCATCGCACAACGCAACTGGCACTGTCAACGAACAAGTGAGACCAAAAAAAAAAAAAAAAAGGCAGAAGCAAAGAAGGAAGGTTCGATATCAGCACCAACAAGCACACACACACCCACACACACACACACACTCACCCACACACACACCCACACCCACACACCAGCCTCGAAAGCAAAACGGTTCGATATCCCTCCAAGTCGTGTGCTCGTGTGGTGGTAACACGAGCAGGCAACTCGCATGTCCACAACAATGTCTCTCTGGCCTCACATCACCGTGCATACCACACACCTCCCCAACACCATCCCCAACACCATCACCATCACCATCAGACCATCATCGCTACCGCTGACGCCACTCATGCAGTGCTCACTCAAGTCTTCCATGCCCCCGTCCCTCCAAACCCTTTCGCCTCTCTGGGCCTCGCCGCCTCACCGTCTCAGGGCCATGACTCCAGGCTGATTTGCTCGCGGATGCGCCTGATGGTGGCCAGATCGCTCGTGGTGTAGCGCGCGTGCGGCGAAGCAACCAGCAGCTCGTGCTTGTGGATCACGTCGTCGAGGAAGTCCTTGAGCACCCGCCGCCCGCGCCCAAAGCGCTCCACAAAGTCGCGGCCCGTGTAAATGGCAAAGGCCATGATGAGTGAGAACCAGTCCTGCGCCGTGCTGTACACCTGCAGGCTGCTGCGACCCGCAGTCTGGCCGCAGCCGGCGTTGGCGTCGCTTGGCCCTGGCTTCATTGACGCCGTCAAGCTGGTGGTGGACGTGGAGTTGGTGCTGCTGAGCGAGCGCACCGGCGTGGTGCCAGTCATGCCCGTGTAGCCAACGCGCCGGCCAACCAGCTGCGGGTGCCGCTCAGCCAGCTCCGTGTCCAGGCTGGAGGGAAACGGGTCCCCTTCGTGCCGCACCGTCTCAAAGTCAATCAGGTACGCGTTGCGCATCCCGGCCATGACAATGTTGGCGTTGCGCACGTCGCCGTGGACAAGCCCGCGCAGGGACAGCCGCAGCAGCTGGCGCGCAACATCCAGCAACTGCTCCCGCGTGCTCACCCCGGTCGCGCTCCCGAGATACGTGGTGGCAAAGCCAACGTGCCTGCCGCCGCGCACTATCTTGGCCACGGAGAAGCGCCCGCTGCGGTCCGTCCACGCCTCTGTCAGCTTCTCTCCGCTAGGAGACTCCGCATCGGCATCGGCATCGGCATCGGCATTGGCCTCCACCTCCTCGCCGCTATCGCCACCACCCTCGCTCCCCTTTGCCCCGGGCTTCTCCGCCTGTGCTGCTCCGTCGCGTTGCTCGCCCGCCGTTTCCTCGTCCTCTGCTGCAATGCGCCGTGCAGCCGTTGCAGCGTCACCATCGCCATCATCGCCGCTGCCGTCCTCGCTATCGACACCGTTGGCGCTCGTGATGCTGCGTTTGGCGCCTGTGGAGTGGCTGCCGGCGTGGATAGGCTCGCTGTCTTGCCTGTACCGCCGAGGAACGAGCGGGCTCGTTGCCTTGGGCTCGGTCACGTGGATGTCAATGTCCACACTCCCGCACCGCTGCATCCTGCCACTGTCGCCGTCACAGCCCTGCGACGATGCGAGCGGCGGCGGCGGCGGCGGGGACACCTCTGCGCCCTCGTTGGAGGTCGTGGACATGGTGGATGTGCACGAGAACGTGGACATGACCGATGCCCGCCGCATGCACCGCACAGACGGCGACGATGTTCTGGAGCTGCACGCGCTGCGCGCTGCGTCCTCCCGTGCCGGGCTGAAGTCTCGCAGCCTGCCCAGTGGCGAGCGCCCGCGCTGGGCGCCATGCATGCCCTCCGGCACCTTGAGCTGGTGCTCTGGCGCGTGCACGATCCTCCACGCCTTCCACACGCGCTCTGCGGTGCGGCTGTACTGCCGCCAGGTGGTGGTGCCGCCGTCAAACAGCGTAATGTCGCTGTGCACGTGCCCGTCCGCGACGCGCACGCTGCACTCCTTGATGAAACACAGCGCTTCGGGCTTGATGTCTGCGTGCTTGCGCCAGCCAAGCGCGTGCTCGTACGTGCGTGTGAGCAGCGGGAAGCCCTCGTCCAGCACGGCTGCGATGACTTCCTGGCATGCGGCGTGAGGGCCGATGAAGAGGTCGCGGCGATACACGCGCGGGTACGATGCGCGGTCGCTCGTGCGCTCGCCGAGCGCAAACGCGCAGACACCAACTTCGTCCCCGTGCTGCAGCAGACCAAATGCAAACACGTGGCCTTGCAGCTTGGCCCAGTTGCCACCGGGTGTGTTGTGGTGCAGGGCAACGGCTGCAGCATCTGCTAGGCCGTTCAGCGCCTGCCCGCGGTCCTCGTCTTCCCGCAGACGCTTGCCCACAACAAAGATCCAGCCTGGGTCGCCCGGCTGCCGTGCTGGCGGCTCACGCGTGCCCGTGGTGTTGCTGCCGGTGTCTTTGTCGGTGATCTTATCCTCGCACACGCAGTCGCTGGTTGGTGGTGGGCGGGGCGCAAGTGTCGACGCCGGCATGCTGTTGCCCTCGCTTCTTGTGTCGTGGGCGCTGATGCCGATGGTGATTGACGTAGTACAGCTGTGTCGATGCTCGTCTGGGTTCACAAGCTTCAGGTCCTCGTGCCATGCGAACCCGCGTGTCGTCGCTTCGCGTTGCCCAACGTGCTTGATTTCATTGAATGTCGTCGCTGGCGCTACCCCTGTCCATGTTCGTGCGTGTATGTGTATGTGTTTGGGGGTGGGGGTGGGACAGGCAATAATTACGAGATGTAAGCTTCAAGTGCTTAGGCTAGATCCCCAATTCAAGATATGCAGAACGCGAGAGGGCACGCACGCACACCCACGCGTACGCATACACACACACACTCTCACTCTCTCTCTGACCTTGTACTGAGCCCATGGTCTCCTCTGCTTCTTCTTGCGGCTCTTCTGCATGGTTGTCGCTCACTTCGGCGAGACGCCTTGCAAGTGGTTGGCAGCTTCCGAGCAGATACGCAGGAAGTGGTGTTGTTGCGCAGATGCTGTACACGTGAAGGCGCTCGGTGTTGTCGCATGCATCGTCATTGAACTCGAGTTGTGGAACCAAAGCTGTATGTGTATGCGTCGTGTGTGTGTGTGTGCCATATGTGCACGCACAAATGCTAGTGTGAGACAACGGATAAAACCTCAACAACCTTATCAGCCATCGCCGATGTAGGCCCAGGAACTCGAGCACACAAGCACACGCAATGTAGGTTAGGAAAATGAAGGGGGGGGGAGAGTTAAGTAGGGCGCGCGTGCCAAGGTTGCAGAGGCGTCTGCCTGGTTCGACAACCAGCAAGCGGCGTTTCGCGGCCACGACAAAGAAAGGCAAAACGGTGCATTCGATAGGGCAGGAAGGCCCTTAGAACAACGACGGTGGGTGTGTATGTGTGTATGTGTGCATGTGTGCATATGTGGGCATGTGCATATGCGTGCGTTTGATGGGTGTGCGTGCGTTTGATGGGTGTGCGTGCGTTTGATGGGTGTGTGTGTGTGTGCGTTCGTCGTGTACCTTGCTGGTGGCGATGGTTTTGGGTGAGGAGCCGTCGCTTTGCGTCTCTGACTCGCCGCACGGATGCCTGCAGCTTGGTGATGGAGGTGGCGTATGCGCTGAGCGATGCCGGGTCGTCCAAGCTCGCTGCGTTGCTAAGCTGGTTCAGGACAGCATCTGCGGCATCGTTGAGATACTCAAATCGACAGCGGACGGTGTCGAGTTTCTTGCAGAAGAACCGACTGAGGTCTTGCCATGTGTTCACGCGCGAAAGCTGCTTTCTGTCATTCGTGAACACCTTAAAAACCTTCTTGAGGAGCTCGCGGGAAGGCACGCCGTCAGGTTCCGCGTGCATGTGTGTCCTGATCTCTGGGACGAACCTCTTGGCGGCAATGTCCAGCCGAACCACGGTCTCCCGGTATCGCTCAAGCAGAGCAATGTACTCCGTGGCCATCCCCACAGACCACCCCGTGGGCTTGTTCAGCATCGGCATCTTCGCTGATCGCGTGCCACGCCTCTTCTTCTTGCCGTACCTCTGTTCTTCTGTGCGTGGTGGTATGCTGCTGCGTTCTGCCAACGAGAGTGAGCCTTGCTTGCTCCGACGCACGCCTTTTCTTTTTCCTTTGGGCCCGCGTTAAGCAAGAATGTGGTGGTGTTGTAACAAATTTCTCCCGCGATGACGTCAAGGACAAAGTCCTCTTGCGTCTCGAAGGAAGAAGAAGAGAAAGCGTTGAACGTGCTGGGTGGTTGGCTGCGCTTCAACCGTCAGCATTTTTCTCCAGCGTGTCAGCATTTCTCCAGAACCGAAAGTTTGCGACGCTGTTAGCGATTCCTCGTTTGCTGCACCCTGCACCACACACCACAACAAACGTGGCACACAACACACAGCAGCCGCTGCACCCCACCATATCCACACACCCCTCCATACACCATCTCCAACTCTCTCCCTCATATCACCCCCAAGCAAGCAAAGCGCACCCCCTCACACCGCCACTATGAGCCTGAACCAGGAGCAGATTGAGCAGCAGGTGCGTGGCGTGCTGTGTGCTTGCTTTGTGCCTGCTTTGTGCGTGTCCAACGCATGCCGGCTTGTGCGGCTCTCACCTTCCTGTGTGATGTGTCAGTGGGTGTGATCACACGCTTTTGCTTGTGCTAACATTCACTCGCTAACCGACACCCACACTGCATCGCACATGCCTGTGGCTGCCTGTGTCTTGTCGGCAGATTGCTCACATGATCAAGTTTATCGAGAGCGAGGCAGACGAGAAGGTTACAGAAATCAAAGTCAAGGTATGCGCTGATGCGAGACGACAGCATGTGTGCATGCGCATGTGTGCATTTGTGCATGCGCGCGTGTGTGTGCGAGACAACAGCATGCGTGCATGTGTGTGCATGTGTGTGCATGTGTGTGCATGCGTGCTGTTGTTGCTTCCTTTTTTTTGTACCTCAATATATCTGGCCCACGACCCCCAATGTTGTGTGGTTGCACGCATTCACCGACTCTGCTGCGCTCGTTTGCCTTCCTGCTTCGCTTTGTTTCGTGCAGGCCAAGGAAGAGTTTGACCGCGAGGTGGCACGAATGGTCAAGGATGAGGAGAGGAAAATCGTCGCCATGTATGAGCGCAGGGAGAAGGGCATGGAAACCCAGAAGCGCATGTGAGTCCCATGCCCGTCCCTGCAATGATGGCATGTGCACCCCATCCAACCTGTGTCGATGCAACCCTTCACGCTTTTGCTTTGCATCATTTGGGGTTGCCTGTCGAGCACCACCGCCTTGCGCTCTTGCGTGCCGTCGCGCACACTGCTGTGCACCTCCGCTACGCAAGTCCCTGTTCCTCGCGGCGCACTCGCACCTCTTTGCAACTTCCTCCTCCGTTTGTGTTTGCTCACACTGCCGTTTGCCACCCACACACAGTGCATACTCAAACAAGCTGAACGCAGCGCGTGTGAAGGTTCTGCAAGCACAGGACGAGTACCTTCAGGTGTGACGCTTGCTGCTGTTTCTGTTGCTGCAGCACTTACCCTTTGGTTTTCACACCACTTGTTGACTGCCTCATGCAACATCTGCCACTCGATGCTTGCGCAGTGTGCCCGCGGAGTCGGCACGACATTCCATGTCCTCCTCACGCTCTGTGTGCGCTTGGTTGATGTGTATGTGTGCATTTCCTCTCCTAGCACATTGTGTCAGATGCCAAGGAGGAGGTGAAGAAGCTGGCCGGTAACAAGAAGAAGTACTCCAAGCTGCTTCGCGACCTCATCACACAGGTAGCCACTGCTCTGATGACCCACCTATTTTGTGCCGGTGCTTGATGCAGTGTGGTGTGTGATGCGAGGCGTAACCCCATGGTCCGTCTGCAAGTGAAGGGAAGGCTTGTCATCAGCTCGCTCGCTCCTCTGCGTGTGTCGCTGTGTCGCTGTGTCGCTGCCGTTATCTCACTCGCCCACTTGTATGATAACAGACCGCTCACAATCAATGCACACACACACAACACATGCACGGGTGCACCGGCCTCTCTGCAACTCTTATTACTTTGTTGCTGTGTTCTATGTAGGGCCTGTGCAGCCTGTTGGAAACACAGGTTGACCTGATGTGTCGCAAGAAGGACGTGGCCCTCGTCAAGGTGTGTGTCTAAGTTTCTTCTCGGCTGTTCCCACACCCGCATGCACCGCATTCTCAGAGCACTTCCCAAGACCCAAATCGTGAGCAACCAAGCTCCCTCTCCCCCGCTCTCGCCTTTTGCAAACCTTTAGCTTTACCCCCCCCTTGCTCCTCCCTTCCCCCGCACTCCTTATCCCTCCTCTTTTTCCCTCGAGTCGGTGATGCGAATTTTTAATCGTTGCTACTCTTGATCGGACGTGGTTACCACGTTCATGAAGCTACATTTATCACCAAGATCTCTGAGACTCGTCTGTTACCGAACCTAGCCCTTAAGGCACAGTTGCCTCAGCATGGTTTCTCTTCCTCCACTCTTCCGTTGCTGTTGTGATTGAGTCGGTGATGCGAATATTTAATCGTTGCTACTCTTGATCGGACGTGGTTACCACGTTCATGAAGCTACATTTATCACCAAGATCTCTGAGACTCGTCTGTTACCGAACCTAGCCCTTAAGGCACAGTTGCCTCAGCATGGTTTCTCTTCCTCCACTCTTCCGTTGCTGTTGTGATTGAGTCGGTGATGCGAATATTTAATCGTTGCTACTCTTGATCGGACGTGGTTACCACGTTCATGAAGCTACATTTATCACCAAGATCTCTGAGACTCTTTCCAAACATGACATGCTCCTTGACGTTCATGCACAAACGTGCGCGCTCCGTGTACCCCCTTTCACTCCGCCCCCAACTATTTTTTCCCTCTGTCCTCCCTATCCCTTTGTGATTCGTTCTCTTTTTGTGTTGTGTTCCTCTTGTGCTCCTGCATTATGGACTGCTGGCTGTGAGTCGGTGATGCGAATTTTTAATCGTTGCTACTCTTGATCGGACGTGGTTACCACGTTCATGAAGCTACAATTATCACCAAGATCTCTGAGACTCTTTGGGTCGCGTGTCCACGTTGCTAGCGCGCACCACTGCCAGCCCTGCTCCACTCTCCCTGTTTCATCCCCTTACCTCCTTCATTCTTCTTTTTTTTATACGATGCACTGAGTCTTTGGGTCTGGTTTGCACCATCGGTCAACATCACACCCGCATCTCCCAACCGACCAGACATATCAGCACATCGCCAGCTTACAATCGCAAGCTCACAATGTCTTTGCTCTGAACATGCCTGGTGCTTGTGTGCTGTATGTGCGCTTAACAGGAGGTCTTGAGCGACGCTGTTGCAGACTTCAAGAGCAAGACAAAGCTGGACTGCACCGTCAACGTCAACGAGAAGAACTTCCTCAACGATGACTGGTACGTGCCAATATCCTCTCACGCAAACTGCTGCTGGCACTGTGTACACCACATGCACACGCATGCATGTACTCACACACACACACACACTCTTACCCACCCACCATCACCACGCCCTTGTTTGTGCGCAGCGGTGGCGGCGTCGAGCTCTCTGTGCGAGGCAACACAAAGGTCACCAACACACTCGACAAGCGCATGGATATGGCCGTGTCCCGGGTAAGCACCATGTTGCCCAAAAGTGCCCTGAAGTTACACGCTCCCTCCGCTCGTGTGTGTATTTTCTCGTTCCCCTTGTGTGCTGTGGCTTTCACAGCACACCCAAGCACTCGCAGTCGGTGATGCGAATTTTTAATCGTTGCTACTCTTGATCGGACGTGGTTACCACGTTCATGAAGCTACATTTATCACCAAGATCTCTGAGACTGGCCTCCAGTGCTTCACCACAACACAACACAACACAGCACAACACAGCACATGCATGTGTCACGTTGTGCATCATCTCTAGTCTTCACACCTGCTGCCTTGACTCACGGGACGTCCTTGTTTTGTTGTCTTGTTTATCGCGCCTGCTGCCAACAGTTGATGCCTGCCATCCGGTACAAGCTCTTTGGCGCGTCAACCAGCCGTGCCCACTTCGACTAACTGCATAACTCTCTCCGCCTCCCCTCTGTTTCTTTTGTTTGTTAGTCTGTTGCCGACTGTGTTCTTTGCTGTTGTTGGTTGTCTGGTTGTGAACTGCGTTGTCGTGGACCGCAGTGCTTCGCTCTCGTACTTTGTGCAATAATCCAGCTGCTGTGTGTTCCTTCCATCTTGTATCGTGTCCCATCGCCGTGCTTGTCCTCTTGTAGTTTTTCCTTTCGGTTGGCTTCTGTCGACGCTCAGTTGGCTCTCAGGATGTTTGTTACATTCCCTCCCCTTTCTCCTTCCAGCCAGTGAACCAAACACAACAACAACAACAACAACAACAACAACAACAACAACAACAACAACAACAACAGTCGTGGTCATGGGTGGTGGTGTTTGTGTGCTTCAAAGCAAGACCGTCATTCACGCGCCGCACAAAAACGAAACACAAACAAAACCGTTTGCGCGGTGGTGCAACACCAAACAACGCTGATGCAGCAATCTGTGTGGCGGGGATCATCGCGGCTGCTGCGATCAGCACACCGCTGCCGGCTGCCGAGGGTTCACCCTGCACAGTACCGCTCCGTACACAGGCTCATCCAGAACGCTGGCGATGACAACATCAGGTTGTGTGTGTGTGTGTGTGTGTGTGTGTGTGTGTGTGTGTGTGTGTGTGTGTGTGTGTGTGTGTGTGTGTGTGTGTGTGTGTGTGTGATGGCATCGACATCCAACACGACCTGCAACTGCGTACGTGCTGTCCAGCACCCATGAAGCAGCTCACATGTTGGGGGGGGGTGCTGGGCGTGTGTGCTGAACAGGATAGCGGAGATGATCGGCTGGTACCGCGAGCGCGGGCACATGGTGGCATCCCTGGATCCATTGGGGCGTGTGGAGCGAGGCGTGTGGCAGCACGAGACTCCAGGGTTGGCCGAGCCACCCTCGCCAGACATGGTCGAGAGTCTGCTCCTCTGGGTACGATGTGTGTGTATGTGTGTGTGTATGTGTGTGTGTGTGTGTGTGCGTTGCGATCTCTAATCTCAGGAGAATGTGGGCATGCTCGATTCAGTGTGGTGTAAGGGAAAGGTTGCCATGGAACCCACCTGCGCACGTGCGTTCATTGTGGATCGCGTTCTCACCACCTCCCTGCTCTCTTCATCTGTGGACGTGCATGCTGCAGTTGATTGAGCGCTACCCGTGGGACTCGTCAGCAGCCGTCAGGGGCAATTGGCTGTGCGGGATGCTGGGCCTCCGGGCAGATCTCGCAGACAAGAGCATGCCCATGCCCATGCTGCATGCAAAAGTGGAAGGGAAGCCAATGTGGAAGATCCACGAGCTGTTTGAGCACCTCACAAACTCTTACGCAGGCACCCTGTCCTGCCAGGTCTGGCATGCACTTGCGGTGGTTGTGGTTGTGGTTGCGGTTATGTGGTTGTGGATGCTGTTGTGGTGGTGTGCGGTTGTTGTGGGTGTGCGGTTGTTGTGGGTGTGCGGTTGTGGACAGTATGCATGTGGCGCATATGTATTGGTGTGAGTTTGCGTGCAAAAGTGACCCGTGCAGCTCATCGCGTTGCTTGTGTATGTGTGTGCACCTTGCGTGGCCACCACACCAGTTCACGCATCTGAACATGGAGCAACAGAACTGGATCATGGACAAGATGGAGAACCGCTTCGTCATGTCAGGTGCACCCGTGCACACGTGTGTGTGTGTATTCGTGGTTGCATCCATGCGCGCGAATACACGTGCGCACATATTGGTTCTCACAACTGAACACAGCCTCATCTTCACTCTGTGCATGCCTGACACCCACCCATTCATAACCATGTGCATACATTCACGCCCCTCCTCCCACACACCTACATGCATTTGCATGCGTGCGTGTAGGCACTTACCGCAGGGGGATCTTGTACGACCTGCTGCACACGCATCTGTTTGAAACATTCCTGGGAGCCAACTTCCCCTCGTCCAAGCGATTCGGCATCGGTGAGTTTGTGTGGACGCGTACACTCGTGTGCTGCATGTGGTGTATGTGGACGTGTATGTGGACGTGTATGTGTGCGTGCGTGCGTGCGTGCGTGTGTGTGGTGTGTGCGTGTGTGCGTGTGGCGTTTGTACTGCCGATCGATCTTGCGCGTTGGATCTGTTGCAAAGTCACATGCAACCGTACACTATGACCCTCTAACTCCCATTCCGCTGCCACTTCTGCCACCACCATTTCTCTTGCTGCTGTTGCGTGTGTCTGAGCAGAGGGCTGCGAGTCGTTCATTCCGGGGATGGAGACGGTGATTCGACGCAGCAGTGAGCTCGGCGTCAGTGACATCTTCATTGGCATGGCACACCGGTACGTGCGTGTGTGCGTGCGTGTGCGTGTGTGTGTGCACGTGTGTGTGTGATGATCATTCAAGATGGCAGTTGCCTTGCGTCTTGGGCAAGTGCATCGCTACTGCCCTCCATGATG